CGCTTTTCTGGAACTGCGCGAAATTATATACGCAATGTCGCGTTTTTAGGTAAAAATTCGCTATAGCGCGCGAAATTGTGCTATATAAAACACTGGATATGGTTAACAGTTATATTGAAGAATAGAGATCTGCATCAAGGATTCTGTTATTATTCATGTTTGATTCTTGAAGTTTTCTTTTAACAGACTGATATATCTTGCATCACTTTAGGTCGATGAATCCGCCTAACAATTTCATATTGCAGTTCAGTGAGTAAAATAATTATCAGACATGATGACGACCACGTCGGACCCTTACAGTTAGTGAACCTATAATGTCTACTATCTAGGTTCAAATGTTACACTGATTTTACTATATGTGCTCCTGTTTGTTTATTGAGGTGAGGTTGCGAGTACTTCTGCCGATAACTTTATATTCTTTCTTCCCCCTTTATCGCCTTCAATAACTTGTGATGTTTAGCTGCAAAGTTGGAGTGGAAGTAGGACGCATATTTTCCTAGACAAGACCATCATTATCTAAATATTTATCCCTTCTTTTATTCTCAAAGTTGATGTTTTTCCCCAACTATACTCGCAGTTGTAATTTTTCTTTTGCTGATACAGATTTCTGCAGTTGCTAGAATACGTAATGCCTTGGCATATGCAACGCACACGTTCTTCCAAAAACACGGTTTCCTTTATGTCCATACTCCGATTATCACTACTAGTGATTGTGAAGGTGCCGGTGAGATGTTTCAAGTCACAACCATTATCAGTGATGTGGAGAAGTTAGAGAAGGATCTGAAACTGAACCCTCCTCCATCCGAAACTGACATAGAGGCTGCCAAGCTTGTTGTCAAGGTGAAAGGAGAAGCAGTGGCCCAGCTAAAGTCTGCTAAGGGAAACAAGCAAGAGATTGCTGTGGCCGTTGCTGAACTCACTAAGGCCAAAGAGAACCTTGCGAAGCTAGACGATAGACGTAAGCTTGATGAGAGACTTAGAGTTGGGGGTGGTTTTCCCAAGAAGGATGGGAAAATTGATTATGCGGATGACTTTTTTGCTAGGCAAGCGTTTTTGACTGTGTCAGGGCAACTGCAGGTAGAAACATATGCATGTGCCCTCAGTAGTGTGTATACCTTTGGTCCAACATTTCGTGCAGAAAACTCCCACACTTCCAGACATCTTGCTGAATTTTGGATGGTTGAGCCTGAAATAGCATTTGCCGATATACAGGTGTGCTAGTTGTGAAATTTTGTGGCTATTATAGAACATGTTATTACATTTTTTCTGTTGAACATAATAGTACCCATTTAAATATGAGAATTGAGAAGCTTTCTGCTTTTGTTTGTAGGACGATATGAACTGCGCAGAGGCATATGTGAGATTCCTTTGCCAATGGTTACTTGACCATTGCTATGATGATATGGAGTTCATGACCAAATTCATTGACAAAACTGCCCTCCAAAGACTTGAAATGGTTGCAAAATCCAAGTTCCACAGAATAACTTACACCGAGGCAATTGCCATTCTTGAGGAAGCAGCTAAGGTCAGGAAATTTGAGAACAGAGTGGAATGGGGAATTGATTTGGCTTCTGAACACGAAAGGTAACTCATTTTGTACCAGTTTTTCTGCTTCATATATAATCTCACCATTTGTATATTTGACTGGAACTATTATAAAATTAATGATTCAGATACTTGACTGAAGAGAGATTCAAAGCACCTGTTATTGTCTATAACTATCCAAAAGCAATTAAAGCCTTCTATATGAAAGTCAATGAAGATAACAAAACTGTTGCCGCAATGGATGTGCTTGTACCTAAGGTAAACTCTCTCTATCTCTCTCTCTCTACACACATAGAGAGAACGTTGATTTTGGATATTTCTGTTATTTAACTTTCCATGTTCTTGTTATGCAGGTGGGAGAACTTATCGGTGGAAGCCAAAGAGAGGAGAATTACGAGATTCTCAAGAAAAGGTTAGAGAAGTTTCACGACTTTTTTCTCTGGTTTTTACTTCTTTTCGTATCTAACAAACGGCTTTTGAAAATGTGATATTTGCTTTAGGATACTGGAGATGGGTCTTCCTATTGAGCCTTATCAGTGGTATCTTGACCTACGAAGTTATGGGACAGTGAAGCACAGTGGTTTCGGGCTTGGGTTTGAGCGTATGATCCTTTTTGCAACAGGTATGGACAACATTAGAGACGTCATTCCTTTCCCCAGATACCCTGGGAGAGCAGATCTTTGAGTTCTTTTTACTTCTTATTATACCTTAGTACCATATAGTAGTTTTACACTACCCTGTAAGGGTGAAGTGAGCTTTTACACTAATATAATAGGGTGATTGGTGTTCTATTGAAAAATACATGTGCCTTGAAAATTGTTTTGTTATGTATTTTTCTTTTTTCTCTTTTTGTTTCTTGTTATAGTCCCTGAAAATTTTCAGAATTGTAATCATAATTTACGAGCCTGAAAAAATGGTATTATCTATTATTTGAAACTTGAGATAGATTGTTAGCTAATATATGGAAATGATATACTTTTGTCTTTGTTTGATTACAAAATGCGTCGCTCACTCTACAATCTATATATATGCACGTTATATAATAATTTTAGAATGCTTTTAGCCAAGTGACATGTTCTCACGATTTGAAATCTTATGCGGCAAAATAATGCATCGGATCGGACTTGGATATAGATTAATCTTTTAAAACAAAAATAAGTATGTATGAATTTCATTAATGTCTATATTGTTCACATCAAATCCTAATTGATCTCTTTCTCCTTTTCTTCTGCCATTAGTAATTATAAACTATTTTAAATTTCCTATATTATTCACATTAAATCCTAATTAATTTCATCTTAATATGTTTCGCACTCTATCAGTTATCTCCGTCTGTTTGTTGCCTTATATATCGCATCATTTGTTTCGCTCTTTATCAATTATCTTCGTTTGTCATTTTATCGATCATCTTGACTTGTATGTCGCGTAGTTATCGCATAATCTGTTCCGCACTTTATCTTTCATCTTCGTCTGTATGTCACGTAGTTTATCGCATAATCTATTCCGTACTTTATCAATTGTTTTCGTCTTTCTATCGCATATTTTGTCGCATAATTATCTTCTTTTGTCTGCCACATTGTTTATCACATAATTTGTTTCACACTTTACCAATTATATTCTTCTGTCTGTCGCTTGTTACATCGCATAATTTTTCACAATTTATCGATTATCTTCGCATATTTATCGCAAAATTTGTTTCGTACATTGTGAGGTGAAAAAAAAAAAAATGGCTGATATGAAAAAACTTTTAATTCTTCAAGCACGGATGAAAGTAGCTATTTCCCATTTTATTTAATTTTCAGATACAACAAACAACAATGGTTTGGTTGGTGCATAACTAATAAAAATCGATGAGTGACGTGGCGCGATGCTGGACTCATTGTGGCACAGCTCAACCGTTTATTTATTTACGACAGTTAAAAATAGATAGTAAAAATAGGTCAAAAGCGTTGTAGGATGTGACTCGGTTCCGCGTCAGTGGGCCCCACTCATTTCACACTTCTCATCGCAATCAACAAAAAAACAGATCATTCCAACGCACACGTTTTGCTGACTCATTCTCATGCGTTTTCCTATAATTTTCACTCCCATCCAGCGCGTGTAACACAACCTCTTTCTAAAAAGTCAGACTTTCTTTTATCAAGTGATTTTCGTTTTCTTACACGCGCTGGGACCCACCAAAACCCACCCATACCCACCCGAACAAAATAGATTTTTTTTGGTTAACTTGAGTTAATTTAGAAAAAGATGGTATAATTAGTAGTAAGTGAAATTTTAAATTTATATCAAAATAATGTGAGAAGATATGAAACGATCGTTAGTTAAAATTAAAAGTATGAGATAGATAATATGAAGTGATGCTCAGTCAAAATTATGTGAGTGGATGAACAGTGAATTAAAGTAAATGTGATGTGTAGTAATGATTGAGTGATATTATTTAATTATATTAATAATATTGATGATTGTAAAGTTGGATTAAAATTGACGGTTTTGCTATGAAGCCAACAGTTGGCTCCATAGTTGATCCAACCTTCTATATACAATAAATAAATCTACCATATTAATAGAATTATATTAATGTTATTTAAGTAATCATATAATATGGTAGATTTATTTGTCGTATATAGAACTATTGGCTCCATAGCAAAACCGTTAAAATTGAATTAGATTTTAAGTCGAATTAAATTTTTGTTGAAAACTCTTGTATACAAACATGCTACGTGTTACATTTTTGTTACGTCTACGTGGCATGTATATAGATAAGTAGTCGAACGTCGTGGTCGCACGCGCTCTGGAAAGAGATGCGTTTAGCATAATCCCCATCTTTGAATAAACGCTTCTAAGAATAAAGGATTAAAAAAAGGATAGATTTTTCTGATGCAAAAACAGCTAAGAAAGACGTACATATTTACAGTTGAGGACTTCAAATAGATTTACAGTTGAGGACTCCAAATCTTCCAATTGTCAGTCAAGGACATTTTGTTGCTACTATAAATACGCCTTTGTCACCACTTGAAAGCATCAAGAGAAAAAAAAAAAACATTTCATTCATTCTTAA